CTTCCTAAAATTAGGTGAAAAATACACAGTTATAACCTAAAAAACCTATGAATTGATCCTAAACACCATTACGAACTCGACTACTCTTCCTCCTCTACTATCTCGCTGGAGAGGCGCCAGACGAGAAAGGGTGCCGCGCCGCCGCGTGGCACCCCCCAACCCACTTAGCACCAAAAAAACAAGCCTTCATATCGATATAAACTAAATTGAGTAAAGTAAGTAAACTAATTTATAGGCCAAATTATAAAATCGGGAAAAATATAAACCACATACGCATATGGTATCGATCGACGAGTAGCCGGCGCTTAGCGCTAGACGCTTTTGCGTCAATCAATGGCGCTGAGATTGGGTAAAGGCGCCGAGTCGATAGACGCTCTGCGATTACGAGCGTCTACCTCGCAATCAGAAATATCACGGGAAATTTTTACTCTGGACCCTTAGGCCCTGACCAGGCACAATGGGTACGTTTTTACGGAAAACAGAATAATCTCACCTAAGACTTCCTCTTCCTTCTCTTGTCGAAGGACTTGTGCTTGAGTCATTTCAAAGAATACTCCTCGTTTGTTCATCAACTCAGCATGTGTGCCCTGCTCAACAATCGTTCCATTCTGAAAATTAAAAGCTAAAACACTCAAGGAAGAGCAAGGTAGTTTGGAGAAATGTATAGCGTACATCAAAACGACGCATTGGTTGCTTTCATAGTCCGCGATGTGGCCCGCGAGCTCGCGGGCCAAATCGCGGACTTTGAAAGAAGCCATTGAATGCATTTTTGCTCAGGAATGTGTCGCGCGACAAGAATAAACAGACTTGCATGACAAATTACCAACCTTGAATACGAAAATCTGATCCACATTTCTGATGGTAGACAGACGATGCGCTACAATGACGGTCGTTCGTCCTTTTTGAGCCTGAAAGATGTTGTTTTGAAAAGGATTTTTTTTTNTTTTTTTTTGAGAACTGATTTTACAGTCAGAAAAAGGGTCGATTAATCAATAGTCATACTTTCTCCAAAGCTTCTTGCACGATTGATTCCGCTTCGGTATCCAGAGCACTGGTGGCCTCATCGAGCAGTAGTATACGAGGGTTCTTGATGATCGCACGAGCAATGGCTGCAATTTTGCAGTCTTGTTCAGCTTTTTATCCATAAGTACTTACTTGCAAATCACCCGTTTCGGGGATTAGCAGTGGTACTGTGTTAAGTGGTTTTGAGAAGGAATAATTTTGCTTATCGACCTGTCTACCTACCGATACGCTGTTTTTGTCCGCCACTTAGCTGCACACCACGTTCACCAACTCGGGTACCGTAACCTTCCGGAAGTCTTTTGATGAAGTCAGCGGCATTCGCCTATAGACCAAGAAGAAGTCAAATCAAGAAGTCGAAATTGTGGAAATAAATGAATAAAGTGATAAAAAAATTCAATTAAGGCTTGCATCATTTGCAAAAAACAAAATTTCGTAGACGACAATAGCAACGTATACGTCGCCTCCTTTGTAAAAAACAGAAGATTGGTCCCATTCCATCGGAATAAACTCACATAGAATCGGAACCGCTATGCAGCCGCACGCAGGCGGCAAAAGAGGCCCTCGCCCCTTCAACTCATTCAGATCGCGTAATCTTCTGATCTCCTCTCCTCTATAGATGTTGGATTGGGCTTCTATCATCTATACAGGAGAGGATAGCGGAAGATTACGCGACCTGAATGAGTTGAAGGGGCGATGGGCGGAGTCGCGCCGCCTCAAATGGGCGGCGCGACCCCGCCCATCGCGCCAAACGACATACACCCCCTTCGCTCCTGCACTCGTCGTTATTTGATATATCGTACAAAATTTAATACTGACCACACGACACGCTTCTTGGACCTCCTCCATTGTGGCCTGTTCATAACCCATCTTGATATTTTCGAATAATGTTCCATCGAAAAGCACTGGTTCCTGAAACAATATAAGAATGGTCTGAATGCAAAATTCTTCGCATCGATCGCTAAAATTACCCAATGACTAGAGGAATACCCTGCCAAAGAGCTCCGAGAAGCAGGACACAACACTTATTTTCCAACTCTGAACTGATACTAAAGAGAATAGCAACACTATTCGTGGATTTCTTGTCAGAACAAAAGGAACCGCGTGATCCTTTGAGATTCAGGAATCGATGCCGAACTAAACTCATCTCGGAATGATAGAAATGCGTCTATTGGGGGATGGAAAGCCATGGTATGGATCAGATACGCTTAGAAACAGCATTGATATTATAAAAGGCAATGGACAAATTCTTTTGGCGTTCATCAGTCGAAACTTTGGGATGCCCTCCGCATCCGATTCCCATTCAGAGTCGTAGTGTCGATTCGAATGTTTGTGTGATTTTTTAAATGATTTGGGGTGGACAGACGATGTACAAGTCAGTGAAGACATTGCTGTATACTCTAAGACAAGTTCGGAACTAACCAACCAACAGTGGAGCGACGGAGAGTTTAGTTAACCTGGGAGAGTACCGATCCGGGATTTAATCCTGGAGCTATGCGTATGTGTCTGGGTGCCATTTTTCATATTACACCCACTTCTATTATCTTAATAAGGAAAAAACGACGCACGGCGCATCCCGGAGAGAGCTCAGTCAGCGGGGATCTAAATAGAAAGCAGGAAACTGTCGAAGCCTTCAAAGACTTTTACATGGATTACCTCCACGCATCACTCTTCGAATTTGTATTGAAAGGATTGAAAAGATTTGGAGCCTACCAATTGAAAAAAGCAAAAACGTATGCTTTTGAAGAGGAACTTCAGGATTGGGAGAAGCACCGTTTCACATAACCCAAAGATTTATCTGACAGAAACCTCTGGTTGATCAACCTAACACACGTACCTGACTAACAACACCGATTTGTTCACGAAGTTTTTGAACGTTGAGATCACGGACGTCAATATCATCTATGGTTACCTTGAAGATATTAAGAGTAAAAACAAAATCATATAAAGAGCATTGAAGATCAGTAGAGATAGAGAGAACTGCTCTATATCTACACCCATGACCACCCCTCCCCCCCCCCCCCGC